CACTCTCCATCGGCAGCGGTAGACAGACCTCATGACTGTTGTCTGGTCACAAAAAGCAACGTTACAGTTATGTCAGTGAAAGGTTCTAAAAAGCAGGAGCCCGTGGCGCTGTTGATACCCAAAACTACTACAACCCTACCCACCAGTAACTGAAGAAGGGTCTGAGGCTCCTTCGATTCACTGTCATGAGAAAGGGCATGGCACTTTTTCTATCTACCATTCTATCATGTTCTCGCTCAGTTTGGAGTTGTGCTGAAAAGACGCCTTGCATTCCGGCAGGGTGCGTCTCTTCCCTGAGGTTGCGGTGTTGAGCGCTCACTGTAACTCTTTCTCGGGGTTTGCACTGAGTTGCAGAGTTGATGTTGAAGTGAGGACCATATAGTTTGTTTTTCTTTGGCATTGAACCGTGTAGTTGGCCCACGGCGGATAGACGGCCGTGGGCATTTCTTACATTATTTTTGACATTTTGTTTTCTACAGTACTACGTGTGGAATTCTTTTTGGGGGTGGGGGGTGTTAGGTGGGGGGGGTGGGGCTAATTAGCACACCTGTGGCGTAGCATGTTATATATCTATTTCAGTCTATTTTCTTGCGGGTTACATTCGGACGAGGTACCCCTGGTTCCACTTTCTTTCTTCGACGCTACACAATACTAGTACTCGTGCTGTGTTGCGCATACATGTTTACTTGCACACCTGCGTGTTTAAAACCCGTCTGGATTTATTCATATCTAACCCGTCTGGTATGTGTTTGGTCCTTCATCTGGATGCAGTTTTGTTGCTCATATGGCGGAATTTCCTTTGTTTCCGCTTTAGGTTTGGCTTTTCTTTTGTTGTCGAGGTTATGGGGTTGGACAGGGGTGGATCAGCTCCCCGAATCCTTACAAGCGTGGTTTGAGGTAGATCCGTGGTATCTTAATAGTTTGTTGAAAACCTGGGGTGAAAGTTCCACCGCTGATCCGGTGCTTCTTGAAGTGTGGCAAATAGCTCTGCAGCAAGATCGGTGGCCTGTATGCTTTCAGGCACGTCATGACAATTACCTGATACTTCTGTACATATCACTATATTCAATGCTGATAAATATATGACTAATATTCACTAATTTCATGAGTGTATATGATTCCAACCGCTTGGAGCAGCTCCTGTGAAGAGTGAAAAAGTCGCACACATGTATGACGGCAAAGATAGTTGCGTAGTTTCGAAAATGCTTCGAAGTCGCCATTTCGCCTCAACGAAACTCTGATTAAATCTGCATGGAATTCACAATGATTCCCATGATGAAGCGTCGCTCACATCATTCCTAATGGAATTAGGCATATTTAAGATGGATTACCCCACGACCATCCTTCATCACCCCACGGCCGTCTATCCGCCGTGCACCTAGTGTAGTTTGTCTTCAGGAGTTGAAGCATAATCATAGCACCTATACTTTGTGTTTCGCAAAGTTAGAAACTGCATGATGGCATGCGCTGCGGAGCAAAACTCCTTGACTTAGCAGACTAAGCAGAACCATACTTCCGTTTCTAAGAAAAATATGTATATAGGTGGACAGCATGTTTCGTCAATCCACTGTGGATTTGTCTTGGCCTTTGCAAATGCACCCTCCTTACCTTTGTTTTTGTAAGTTTTGTATTCATCTAAGTCAAAGTCGTGTCTGTCTATTGTTCACCCATACATGTGTCCGTTCTTCCCTGTCGCCGTCCGACTCTTTGTCTCTCAGTCTAATCATATGAGCGCTCAGATATTCGTCTAATCATACAGTGGCTTTATGCATAGGTGCCTACCATGACAGAATCTCAATTGCGCAGCAAGGCTGCTGGGACTTTCGTCTGGAGCACATGTGGCTGGATTGCTGTTGACACGTCGGGCAGCTGTTCGTCCAGGCCAAGCGTGTGTTGAATGGCTTCAAGAATAAATAGACACCCTGAGCCCACAGCTTCAGCAGCCACAATTGATTTCCATCCCACTATTTTTAGGTTTTCCAGTTTAGACCCAGACAAAGCTTTGGGTGTGCTAAGTAAATGAGGCAGAAAGGCAAGCAGAAGAAGAACACATACTGTCGCAGTCCAATAAGGCTCCCATGTCACACCTGCCACCAAGAGAAGACATCCAACACCAGCTTGCAAACGTAGGATCCAAGACATCCTGGTCAACTTCAGACTTGGTGGGTTTCATTGGCTTGGGCGGCATTTATGAGTTGCACAGTCGCTTCATGGCACATTTGCACAATAAAGGAATTGACTTCTTTTTGCAGCGCCTCGTGCTTGGAGACACACAATCCCTGAGAGAGTCCCGCTCTCCAAGCATCCTGCTTCGCAGAGATGGTTCCAGGCTTGGAAAGCATTTGCCACCGGTTCTACTCGTTCATGGCACTGGTGACAAGATCGTCCCCACAGAACAATCAGAGGTCTTTTGCAACGAGCTCACCAAATCAGGTGTACGTGCAAGGCTTCTTTTTCACAAAGGGCAGGGTCACAACGATCCGGTGATACACAGCCCGCTAATGAGCAACCACGAAACTGTTCAAGCCATCATTCTCTCAATCCATGAGTGGACTTCGAAGTCTTCAGGGAACAAAGTGTCGGAGGCACTCTTGAAGTCTTCTGTGCCAGATACCTGCAAAGCTTGCCTTGCAGATTTGCCGACATGGCCTAGAACTCCAGAGGCTGTCCAGACCTCAGTTTTCCTGAGCACAGTAGACACTGTCTTCTGTGCCATCACTCAGAGGCTTCTCCTCTGTCAACGTCCTGTTCTACACTTTCGAAGCCATCGTCATGTCAGCTGAGGTAATCCACATTGCTCGGTTGCTGACGCCATTCTAGTGCTCAGTCTTTTGAATTGGCCAACCACCGACAGCTGAGACAAATGTTCAATTGAGCAAAAGCTGGCTCCAGCAATTGCATAGTTTTCAATCAAGAAGTGCCAAGCATAGTTCTTCACACTAGAAGGCCAGACTGTCCGCGCATTTGTTCTTTGTGTGTGCGCAGTCTATGCGTGCCAAGATTTGAAATGTTCTCTTATGCTCAATGACTTGGCAGACTGATTAGAGCTCCAAGAGCTACGTAATTCGGCATTCCGCTAAGCTTCGCTCAGCTTCGCTCTATAGCGTCGCTCCAATCTAGACCGTTTAGACGTGTCTTTCCACTTGCGAAGCTGGTGATTTCCGCTTTTTCGTGACGATCTGGAATCAAGAGTGAGTGGAACAGCTGCAATCTTACAAGATGCTGTTGAGGCAAGAGGAAACTATTCTACTCGATAGTCTGAGAAGTGCAACAGCATGTTTTTTGGTTTCAGTCTTGCATGTGAGCCATTGCACAGTGCCAGGCCAATGCCCAGAGAACGCAAGCCAAAGTTAATTTCGATCCTTTGCCCAGAGCTGGCACGATGGGTCAGGCTCTTGAGCTTGTCGAGCTGGAAATTGCTTGCAATGTGTGCTTGCTTGCACTTCCTTCTACAGTGCACTCCTTGTACATCACTTCAAGCGTTTTAGTGTTTTGGTGAGGTCTGAGATAGGGGCTGCGGCTTTGTCGAAATTTGATACATAAAGCCAGCAGCATTTCGAGCCTACATTGTCCATAAATTTCTCTCCAAGGTCATGCTGCCCAGAACTCTGCACTCCAAAGCGAGCGAAAGGCCAGCTGTTGTCGCCTTTTGTAACAGCATCGGGCAAGATCACTCTCTCCATTGATTCTTAGATACTTTTGTATCTTTCCAAGGCGGCAGCCTTTAGAAATTTGGGCCTGACACAAGACTCACGGGTGAGCACCTGAGCCTTTTGCAAGTTTCCTTTACAGTGCTTTTTATCGCTGACGAATGCTTTGTTTGGCTGAGGCCACCGTGGAGCAAGTCCTGGACCCACGAACCATGGCAGTCCTTGGAAAGTTCCTCAAGCGTGGGCTTTTTGCCAGGTCCTTAGCATGGAGAGTTCTAGACACTCCACACAAAGTGCAACAAGTTTGTAGATTGTAAAGCTGAGCTGACTGGCTTGTGCACGAATCCTACGTGAGTAACAACGTATCAGCTTTACCACTAATTAGTCACTACTGCTTTTAAGGACGAGATCCATGGGTGCATCAGCACTGGCAAAGAGGCCAACGCTGGATGCTTAGCTTGGATCAAGTGAATGATGATGGGCTTGTCGACACACCTCATATAGGTATATTATGCCACCGCTACTGGTGGTGTGGAGCGTGCTGTCAAGGCACCCCTTTTTGTCACGCTCGATGGCTCGATGTCAGGTGTTGCAGTCAATGGTAGGTTTGGTTTAGTGTGTTTATTTTGTTCCTCTCCCTTGTTATAGTTCTCTAGTTCTGTGTACCTTGCTGGCCACATTCGGAAATCTTCACTCTATCTTTGAGGACGGGACTCAGTTCTTGAAAGTTGCGAAAGTATTTTTGACTCTGATGGGCCTCAATCAAAAGGTGACTGATTACAAGCTGACGGGTATGCTTTTCTTTTTGTGGTTTGAGTTATGCAAGGGATTCCACTGAAGCGGTGGAGTCATGCACAAATTACTGTCGAAATCTTTGGAACCAAATTTCTTCACTTATTGGAGGAGTTACCTCCGAGTTTGATTAAATTACATTGCTAGTTTTTGGTCGAACACTTGGTTTGATGCAGCCGACGACCGTTGTCTAGCTAGACTACTAGATGAGGCTCAGAATGACTCTGTTGCTGGATGCAATTGGACGTGGATGTGGGCCAAGCATGGACATTGCAAAATCTGATCCCAAAAAGGCATGTATGTTGGGTCTGTCCTATTAGCTGTAACAGTCGGTAAACAATTATCACTATTTTAGAGAAAGGCCTCTACTAACCATCATCATCCACTGTTACTGGTAGCCCGGGATCAAGAGACTTACCAGCTAGTCGGGCGGTTTCATTCGGATCCTCTTGATGTGCCATGGAAAGCTCTGGAAGAATCGATGAGGATTTCTTTCAGGGTAGAAGAGTCAAATTGTTCTGCTCTTATTTTGATGATGGGATTTGTCGAGCCTGCACCATGGACAAAGCGCTTCCCAAGATGACGCTGAAGGTGGCTTTTGTGAAGGGCGTTGAGGCCATCCTGCCTGTCGGAACCACCTTCATTCTGGAGAATTTTGCATTGTCATTGGAAGAGACCCCTATCACTTCAGGTTCATTGACCGAAGGTCCTTTGCTGCCGCTTGTCTTGCCGAAGCCTGCTGACAGAGGCATTGCGGAGATCTTCTCGGGCATGGGAGGGTGGGGTATGGCCACCGAGGCCTTTGGTGCTCAGGCCTTGGTGAGCCTTGAAAAGGATCATGCCACTGCCAAGTGTCACGCCCAGAATGCCATGATCCCGACCCTGGAGACTGACGAAGCTATCGCCCTTGGGCTTGCGGGTGAACTGCCGGTCCGGTTCATCCTGGTGGGTGATGTTTTTGACAGTCGTTGTTGGGCAGTGATGTCATGGAAAAGGATTGCATACTATTTTGCTTCGCCCCCGTGTCAGAGCTGGAGTGGAGCCGGATGGCAACAGGGTTTAGAGTCTGTGAACGGCCAAGCAATGGAAGTTTGTGTTGAGCGCACCACTTTGTTGCAAGCCAGGTCATTGACAATGGAGAACGTCCCCTCCATTCAGACTCATCCAGACCTTCAGCATGTAAAGAAGTTGATACAGCAGTGCAATTATGTCATCGGCCATGAAGGCATTGACGAGATCTACCCAGTCTTGCCTATCAAGCGCAAGCGTTGGTTGTTGACCATATTGCCAAAGGGGAAGACCATTGACCTGGCGACAATAGAATATGCTAAGCAAGCCAAATTCCCCTCCTGCTTACCAGTTTTTGGTGCTCGGAATTCCTTGGCCTTAGCGCGAGCATTCAATGACCATGTCCTTCCATGGGAGCAGGAGGCCTTGAAGCCTTCAGCTGATGCGATGGAGCTGGCAAAAGATCGATCGCTGCTGCCGAAACACATGATGAATGGACCAGCCATTTCCTCACAAGACGATGTGCTTAAGAGGAGGACCATAGGGCAATGGGAACCGGTGCCTTCCCTGATGTCATGTTACGGGGGTCAACATGAACTGCCACGTGACCTGTTGAAGCACCATGGCCTTCATTCATGGTTTCTCAAAGATGGTGATCACATTCGCTATCTCTCCCCATTTGAGGGTGCATTCGCCCTTGGATTCAGTTCGAAGTTGATTTTGCCAGCCGATTTTCGATCTGCACACCGGTTGATTGGGAATGCCATTTCATTTGCCCACTCCACGTTGCAGGTTTGGAGAACCCATCTCCTGTTAGGTCAGGACTCGCCGTTTCGTACCGATGTCCTCTGCATTGCAGATTTGGTTGAGTTGATTTTCGATCGCACCGGCAGGTTTGGTGACAATGTTGTTGTCAGGGATGGGAACTTTGCCCATCTCGCTTTCCCAGGTGCTGCTGAACGGAAACGATCTCAGACTGATGATGAGGACTCCCCAGAGGACTCCCAAGCCAAGAGAGCCCGAAGTGAGGACATCTCACCAACTGTGCCTTTCGAGGTGGTAGGTATGGACCCGTGCGAGGTGGACCTTGCCATGCCATATCTCAAGCCCAAGGACTTGCAGCGTGTCTCAGTGGCCGCAAGGCTTTATACGCAGCCGCTCGACCAAGGTGCCTTCGAAGAAGGGTCTCAGGAACTCTTGCCGGTTGAACACCTCAATTCCTGGGAACAGGGTAGATTGGTTCAAGTTGCAAACATGGTCCCTTGCCAATTGCTCCATGAACAGAAGATTTGGACCGAGTTTGTCTGGTTGCCAAAGGACACCAACATTGGTTTTGCCATTCAACAGGCCTTGCCACATGCCTTGGAGTGTCATTTCCAGATCATCCAACATGATATTGCTGAAGTTGGGTTCCATGATCGGGTCAACCCAGAACAGCCGTGCACCATCTTCCTGGACACAGTCAAGATTGATCGGTTGGTTTCGCCCGCCTTCACTCAGGATAGCCTTTTGGTTTCCGTCGATGTCTGTTGGAAATTCTCCGATCTTATTGCTTATGTCGCGTCTCAATGCGGTGTACTGCCAAGTAAGGTTGTCATCCTTGATGATCATGCACCCATGCCGGAGTCTGCATTTGTATTGCAACAATTGAGCACTTCGTTTAAGGCAGCCCTGGTCACCAATCCATTGGATACCAGACAGCTCATGCCAAAGAAGTTTTGTGATTTTGCAAATACCAAGGAGGTCACTGTAGCCGGTGTAAAGGTCACCAATCCGATGCATTCTGACAATGCGGTCCCTGCCGATTCGGCCGCTGTTCGTTTTGCTGCCAGGAACCCAAATTGGGGCTCTATTCGATCAGTTGCCGTCAACAAACAGGAGCCGGTTGGGAAGTTGGTTCAAACCCTGTTTCCAGACTTCCGTGACCCTGTCCCAAATGTCACAGCTGAAAGTGCTATCATCGATCCGACCGATACAGTGGAGACATTGATTGCAAAGACCAAATTGGAGGTTCATTTCGAAGGGTTCAAGCCTTGGCCTGTCACCGATTTGGAATTCCTTTTGCCTTTTGGTCCACCATCAACCAATGATCCTGCCTGCCTCATGCAACTGTGGGTGCAAGGTCCTTTCGATTATCGCGCCAAGCGTGTTCAAGTGGACAAAGAATGGACGCTCACCAAGTTGGCTGCATCCTATCAAGTTCTGCATCGTAGCAATCTGACCATGATTGTCCTACAGCATGGCAAGCCATTGGATCCACGCCAACAGATTCAGCATGTTTGCAGTAAGCATGAGATACAAATTAGGGTTTGTGCCTTGCCAGGAGGAGCCAAGTCTGAGGATCTTGTGAAGTTTCTAGAGCCGCTCCTGACGAAGCGTGGTGTGCCAGCTGACGCCGTCAAGGCGAGGGTTCAGGCTGTCCTTGCCAAACTCGACCATGCCACAATCCGAGCCCACATGCATGATGATGCACAGACCTTTTGGGGATATCTCAAGCAATGGGCAAACGATGCCAAGCTTCGTTTAATTACGCCGGATGAGTTGAAAGCACAGAAGAAGGCTGGCAGGGCGGAGGCCCGAGCTCAAGCTGCATCATCCAGTGCCACACCGTCAGTTCAGAAGTTCCAAGAAGCATCCACACAACAAGTGGTCATTGACACGACGCATTTCCTCGCTAATGGTTCGCCAGTGCCCAAGATTGACATCAATGCCTTTGCGCCGGATTCAACAGGTATTGCAGTGGTGTCCCCGGCAGAAGCCTTGAAGTGCATGCCGGTTCGTAGCCTGTCGGTCCAACCACTCGCGCTGGTTGTGCTCACAAACCAGCCCTTTGGGGGTATGCCGATTGTCCATGTGCCTGCAAGTGACCATAAGCTCAACCCCATCATTGTGCCGGTTGTGATTCTCAATTTCGGTGAACCGCAGGTTGAATTCCAGCACAAATGGCCTCAAACCAAGCTCGTCGAGACGCCGGTTGTTGTCCTTGAACTCAAGATTTGCAAGGACCTCGTGAATGACTGGAATGAGGTGCAATCACCATTGGCCTATCTTGGTTTGCACATCCCCGAGATGAGGAAGGATGCTGTGATTGAGGCTTGGAGCATTTCGCCATATGACAAGCATCGTTGGAAATCCAAGCACGACTATGCTGACTACATCCACGGATTTTGCAAGGTCAGGCTTGCAGTTGCTGATGACATCCTCAAGCGATCAGGTGTTGCAGGGATTTTCTTGGCTCCCAAAACACCTGATAAAAAGCGGGATTTGGCTTACAGTTTGATTCAGATTCCAGGCAAATCACTGGACGAAGTTGTGTGCCTAGCTAAGGATGTGGCCAAGACCTTAGGTGTCGTCGAGTGTGCGGCCAACTATGCCATTCGCACAAGGAGGGAGCATATCCAAGATCCTGCCACAGAGCATTGCTATCCAGGAAGGACTCGTTCAGTCAGATGCTGATTGGTTTCTTCTCAAGGGCCTCAAGAATCAGACCACCCATGAGAATTTGACCGCAGTACTCCAGGGTTTGGGGTGGAAAGATGCACATGCTGTCCGACCTACCAGAGGTGGGGCCTGGCTGCTCAATGCTAAGTCGGAGCCGCCGTTCATGTACTTCCAGATCAATGAGACTTATGTTTCTGTGATCAAGTTGGACAAGAAGGCTACCACGCCTAAACCTCACATTACCAAGGACGTTCAATATCAAGTTGTGCATGCTACGCCTTCGCACACACCAACCAGCACGACATCCACCAGGATGGATGAGTTGCAAGAGCGTTTGACGAACATCATCAATGACAAGATTGCTGACAAAATGCGTGAGACACAGTCCCAGATGGCCGACATCAAATCTGCAGTGACTGCCTTAGACCTGGGCAATCAGCAGCAACAAGCGGCTGTGATAGAGATCAAAAAGAATCAAGATCAGTGTACGGCACGGGTGGATGTGATGCAGCAGTCCATGCAGCAGGCCATCAACGATGGTAACGCAGCCATCCTGCAGAAAATGGATGCCCTTTTCCAGCAATTTGGGAAGTCCGTTGAAACTCGGCTGTCGGCCATAGAGAATAAAGTTGATGAGACCGACCCATGCAAACGGGCCAAGACCTCCACATCGTGACTAGGCCCACCGTCATGCATGCTTACATGGTTTGTCGCGATCATTTTCGCGCAGTTCATACATGGTGCACAAGCATGCCGTCTCTGGCAAATCTCGGATAATTACCAAAAAGGTGTACAATTCAATTTGCAAGTGCTTGTCCCCTGCTCGCATGATGCTTTTCTGGAGGCCGGCCTTTCTGTACGGCCGGATGATTTGCAATATGATGTGAGTAATTCTACCTTTCACAAACCTGCTCCGCCAGTTGCACCTTGTGTTTCCTTGGAAGCTCGGCCGTGCTTTTGTGGCGATGAGAGACATTGTTTGGCACGTGACATGCCATGTCGCTGGAATCTTTGTGGCAGTGATTGTGCTTTGGTCACGGAGTTTCGGCCTCTCGCAGACAGGTTTCGACATGTTTTGCCAATTCATGCCTTCTTTTGCCGGCCATATCCCATGGTAGCTAATCATGTTGCCAGGGTTGCAAATTTCAGGACTCAGTCCTTTCGACGCAGCAATGCCAGTCATGTGCGCAAGAAAGCCCTTTCCATGGCTTGCTTTGCATTCATCCATGCTGCAGTGCTCTTGTGCTTGGCCATGAGTTATGATGCTGTTGGATGCCATCCCAACAGAAGCAGACGTTGCATCCTAGCCGCGCGGAAAATCTGCAGGCGCCGCTACCGCTTCCGTCGTGGTTTTTGGAATTCATGGACATACTTGCCGTGTGAGTCACAGACACCACTGCAGAAGTATGCATTTGAAACCATGCCCTCGGGGTTGATGTGGAGTTGTTTGTTGGGCCTCCACTTTCCCTTTGATCCTGGTAAGATCTCCTTCACGGGGTGCATCGATGTCCTTTGTTGCTGTTACCTCTGGTTCCTGTCACTTGTTCAACGCACAGTGATGGTGCCTTATTTTCAATATGAACATGTGTCACCACATGTCGTACAATCATTTCGTACATCAATTGGTGCCGATTCTCGATGGAGGCCGCACTCCTTTTTCGGTGCTCAACAACCAAGAATTCGTTTCCACCCTAGAACTAGTTGTCTGCACATGCACACCTTGTTCCTTGGATATCTGATATCATATTTGGGAAAATTGTATGTGCGTGTTGTGGAAGCCACCAATCCAGGCCCCGGCAGTCAGGACGCACATAAATTCCATGTCGTACATTATAACCCGACTGCCATTTTCGGTAAACTTGATGATATTTGTTCTTTGCCGCTTGGTGTTCATTTGGTGGCTGAAACAAGCCATACACGAAATGCTCTCCGCATCACCAAAAATCAATTGTTCTCCAAGAACATTCATTCACTTTGGTCGGAACCGGTGGTGCCTTACACCAATACCTTTGACAGCCTTCGTGGTATGGCAGGTGGTACCGCAATTTTATCGCATCGACCGTTGAAGAGTGCTGGTGCCTTGCTGCCTGAGCCACCGGTTGACCCTCAGAGAGTTAACACCGCGTTTATTCAAATCAAACCTCATTTGATGGGGTTTGTTGCTTCCATCTATGGACCTCCAAAGAACTCCCGATATTGTGCCCCAGAGGCCATCACTGATGCCTTGTTTTCCAATGTTGTCAGGGCAGCTCTAGCCTTCCAAGGCCCAGCCATTATTGCAGGGGACTTTAACACTGATCTCGATAGCCTTTCCCTTTGGCCGAAACTTCAGGCTTTGGGATGGTTTGATGCAGCAATGTTCCATGCTCAAAGGAACGACACGGAGCCGGAAAACACATGTAAAGATGCGACAAGACACAGCTTCATCCTTTGTTCCAGGGAATGGATGTGTGGTTTTTGTTCCTGCAAGATCATTGATTTTAACATGTTTAGTGCTCACCCTGTGCTGGCCTTAGAAACTGAACTCCCGGATTTCAACATACCAATTTACAAATGGGTGTTACCCCAGTCTTTTGACGATTTTATTTCTGACTCAACCACTGCCCAGGAAGTTGCTACTCGCCAACTTGATGGGGCCAAACATAAGATTGAATCATTCAAACAACAAGGTGATGTAGATGCCCTTGGCTTGCTATGGACTCAAATTGCGGAAAACACGTTGGCTTCTGCGGCCACGGATTCCTCGGGGCAGCCGATCAGTTTCAAACGAGATTTCTTCGGACGTTGCAGGAGGCCATTGTTCGTTAGGGATAATGTGGATCATCCGATCCCTAAACAGGCAAGATGGGGCGATCTCCAGTGTGTCTCTGCAACGCCAACTGTGGAATATCGTAGGCACCTTAAGCAAGCGCATCGCTTACAGAGTCTTGTCCGACAGATCAAGTGTTTCTACCGTAACCGCTCAACCAAAGCTGCCGACCAGTTGGAAGTGCTTTGGACAGCCATTTTGAATGCCAAAGGTTTTACAGGAGGTTTTGCAAGTTGGATTTTCCAGTGCGGCGCCGGGTTCATCCCAACTTGTTGTCCAGACTTGGAATACGCTGCCGCGCTTGCCGATGTTTACCTCGAATGGCATGCGTCGAACACGACGTACTTCGCTAGGGAAAATAGAAGAATTAGATACATCAATAAACTCTTGGACTTACAGAAAGGTGGAAAACAATCTTTTAAGGCTATTGCCGATGAAAGTCTCCCACCTATGCAGTTTGTCCATAAGCCATTGGAATTTTCCATCCCGCGTCAGACGTGGCCAAAGCTGGGGAAGACACACATCCTCTGTCAATGCCCACCTGACTTACGATTGGACACTATCAAATTTCAGGGTCAGCAAGCCTGTATAGTCCAGATCCTTGATAATGCTTTCATTATGGATAAACCGATTAAGCTTTGGTCACAGGATCTCATTGTTAAGCAGGATGCCTGGACTTTGAACCATAACAAAATGCATCAATTAGTTGCTTCCGAATGGAATTCCTTCTTCCAGAGGGATGAACGATATGAAGAAGAATTTGCTGCCGTGCAAAAATTTGTTGATGCTGCCAAATCGGAAACTATAATGCAGTATAGTCAGATCTCCCAGATTGACTTATACCATGCCATTAAAACTACCAAAAAGCTAGTGCCAGGGGAGGTGATGGGTTTACGACTACTGACCTCCTCAAACTGCCAGCACGAATCATTCAATGCTTGGCTGATCTCCTCAACCACTTTGAGGATACCAGGAGTTGGCCAAAGCAATGGGTCATTGCCAAGACTTTATGTCTAACTAAAGGCCATACCCCCACTTCACCACTGGATATTCGGCCCATCACGATTCTTTCCAAAATCTATCGATTGTGGAGTAAGATTAGGGGCAAACAATTAGGCCAGTTCCTCACGAATAATTTGCCTAAACAAATTGGAGGCCCGGCCATGGGTATTTCCAGTGAATTAATTGCCCTCCTTAACGCGGACCTCATTGAGGATGCACTTGTAGAGAATAAAAAGATCTCAGGGGTTGTCTTGGACCTGATTAAAGCGTACAACGCTGTACCTAGGATGCCGCTTGTAGAAGTGCTCCTTGTCATGGGGGCTGAACCAAAGATTACTTTTGCATTTCTTGCTGCCATGGATGCCATGCAGAGAGTGTTCATCATTGACGGCGCAGCTGGTGAACGATTTCACACCACAACTGGGATTGTGGAAGGATGTTCGTTTGCTGTTCCTGCGATGTTAGCCATCAGCATCTGGGCATGGAAGATCTTGTCTGAAAAGATCCCACACGCACAGTGCCTTTTCTTTGCGGACAACTGGTCTTTCGTTCACCCAAATGCTGACCAGTTGTTATGTGGCCTAAACCACCTTGCAGAATTCCTTGCAGCCATTCGAATGCAGATTTCGCGACCCAAATCTTGGCTACGGGCAAACCACACGACTCAACGTAAAATACTCCAAGGCGAAAACAACGCCCTTGGAATCCCGGTCTGTGAGACAGCCAAAGATTTAGGAGTCCAACAAAATTATTCCAAAAAGCGGCGTAAGCCCACAGGTGCACTAAAGATTCATAAGTCTATTGACAAATGTAAGCAAATAGCCAAGCTAAAGATTCCAAATTCATTTAGACCCAAAATGACTTCAGCTGCAGCTCATTCGAAACAGTTTTATGGGGCAGCTGTGTCGATCATGGCAAAAGAGGATTTTCACCATCTATGTACAGCCACTGCAGCTGCTATAAATAGGTCTAAAGGGGGTGCCAACCCATTCTTGGCCTGCAATGCCATTGAGTCTTTGGATCCGGAATTCAAGGATATCACCAATCGCACCCTTACTTTAAGAAGATACTTTGTGACTTTTCCTTTGCGAAAAACTGCTGCCAGGCAGGCATTTCAGGATCTGAACCCTTCCATGAAGAAAGCCACCGGGCCATATGCCAGCCTGATTCTTGCATTAAGGAAAATCAATTGTCACCCTGTTATCATTAATAATTCTTTTGGCGCGCAGACAGAATTTGGTTTTGTGAACTTGGAACATATCTCATCAAAGCTATTGAAGATCATTTGCCGTTATCTTTGGAACCTCCGTCTCCCGGAGTTCATTAATAGGAAAGATTTTGCCAACACGCCGTTTGACTTCGATGCAATTCAGTTTGCTTTCCAGAAGCTGAGCCCTTCACATCAGGCTCAGATTTCGGCATATATCACTGGTAAACGAATGACTCAAGATGTGTTTAAAGTTTTTCGCACTGATATTTCTGGTAACTGCCCCTTCTGCGGCCAGACAGATTCGCGCATTCATCGTATTTACCAGTGTCCCAATTGGCAACAACAGAGGTGTGAGGCATTGATAACAGAAGCAAATGCTGGCCAGATGGGTCAAAACATGTTGCAGCTAGGACTGCCTGACTTGATCCAGATGCCTTTGCAAGAATTCCTAGCTGATCTTGATTATGATTTGCCTTTTGTAATTCCGACCGAGGAGCTTGTTGTTGGCTTGCGACCTATGTTGTTCTTGGATGGCTCTGCCTTTTGTAACAACCACCCGCTACTGACTATTGCCGGTGCTGCTGTTGTCCAAGCATCCCCGGATGACTTGTCCTGCCAGCTAATCACACGTGCAAAGGTGCTCGGCATTGTGCCCAATTCATACACGGCCGAAGTGTTTGCAATTTTATTGGCACTAAATCATGCTAGGGAAGCTGACCTTTTCTCTGATTGTATCACTGCTGTTGAACAGCTGCAGTTTATACTTGAGACACATACCATGCCGGCCGTTCAACCTGGTTATAACCACATTTGGCAATATATATTCCAACATCTCCAAGCTAGACAATTTTGCGGTATCACCATAACCAAGGTGCAAGCCCATCAAAACTGGATTAACATTGTTGATAGTACTGCTAGATTTCATGCTTATGTCAACGAACAAGTTGACCTACAGGCAAAAAACGTATTCTATATTGACCACCCAGTGCTACTCCGACAGAGGACACAAATTTCGGATAGGATTGAAACCCTGCGCGCGGATCTTGGTCGAATTTTCAAGTTTGTTGGATCTGTTTGGGTTGACTCCATTAATGCATTTCGGAAAACTCAGGCCGTCGAAGCGCAAACCAGGGGAAGGATTCAGCCACACGATGTTTTCGCCGCTGCCCAGTTGAAGTGGGTACCCTGTGGAAATGCCTCCCCCAAGCATTTTGACATTGATCTTGAATTATGTGCGCGGTGCCCATATCACCCCATCTTTTGTTTTCGGCTCTTGTGGTGGGCGAGGCAATTGCAGTGGTGTGGCCCGCGATGTAATTGCAATACCAGAATAACCTTCACAGAATTGTATCTTGATTTCTCTTTAGCCACCCGTTCCCTGACTCCGGTCAACATGGCACCGGGTAATCAGCGGGATTGGAGGGGGGTTTCAAACTTCCAGTTGCAAGACATCTCAACAAAAGCCGATGCCAAGGGCCCTCAAACCTTGGCTGCGCAATCTCGAATCTTTTGTATGTGCATTAAATGGTTGCATTCCCAAGGTATGTTTCCATTCCATTATGACCGCCCCAACGTTGGTAGAACTGATGAGCTTAGTTGGCTGGGTGTCAGAGGGGGCTTTCCTGCCTTCAAGGGGCGGCCGAAGCTCCTTTCGGGTCATCACCTTGCGGTTGAGTTTGATCAGTTTCTTCGACAGCAGTCTCCGCCTGCGAGACACATCAATTTAATTTGGAAAATGGATGGCAAGCCGGCTGTTATCCACCCAGTCGAATTAGATCTTGAGTTTGAACAGATCCGCAACAACGTTTTGGCTGCACGCCGCTAGCTGGTCGGTCAGCTAGGCATTCAGGCATTCCTCGTGCGCCGGACGCTCGTGGACTCATCGAATTTTTGTCGAGGGAGGCCGATGGTACGTTGTCATTGACCATTCGTCTCGAGGCGACAACCGCCTCACTAAGGTGCAAAGCGGAAAAAAATCCACTGTTACTGGTAATGGGATAGACCCAACATAAATGTATATATATACACATAAAATATCGATTGCTTGTTATTGACTCACCATCCTGCACGCACTCACTGGGCATGTGGGTGTTGTTTGTATCCCTTTGATTGACCACATAGGCTAAGTTCTTGTCAGAGTTTTCCGTCGGAAGGTCTACAAGACATCCATTTTGGTCTTCAAGGATCGAGCCAGATATGTGGAAGGTGAATTCCGCTTTCGGCAGGACAGGGCCAGCCAACAAGGATTTTTGAATAGCATTTGTCTAGCTAGCTTGCCAGGGCTACTGCAAAGGAAATCCCAGGAAAATGGTGGCGCAATGGGCTGAGAAGGACTGCTTGCAAAAGCTGAGATGTTAACTACTGAAGAAACAGTCTTCGGGTTACCCTTCCTGGGGTTGCAGGAAATGAGAAATCTCCGTCGCTTAGGGGCAGCCGGCATTCCTTGCCCGGAGGCAAGCAACGCTCTGAACGGACGTCCGAGCTTGCAACCGATGATGTGCAAGGAACAGTAGTGCTCTACCAACTTGCCAAGGGTTGAGTTACAGTATTGCCTTTTGATAGCATTTCACTTCCTCTCTGTATACAATGCTTCGAGTTGATGCAGTCAAGCATTGGAGGTGATTGATGTAAGACAGAATGTCCTGGTGATGGACTTCCTGGGACAGGATAGCCATGCTGCTCCCAGGCTTAAGGACAGCCTTTATGGACTGGGCCAGATTGGTTAGGACGGTTAGGAATCTCCAGCGAAGCAGCGAGGGAGCGTCAAACACCAATCTCGATCGAACGAAGTCGAAGCGGCACGCACGGCACCGATTTATGGCAGGCGCGCAATGCACCGAGTGCTCAAAGTCGTGAGCTGGAAAAAGGGGCCCCTGAGCCGAGAGAACCGGTCATGGGTATGTGAGGTGAGGTTTCCATGTCTACCATGTTCAAGGACATGACTGGATCCGTCGCACGGGGGTAAAAGAAGTTCAGCGATTGGTCCTCAGCAATCGCTGTCATCCAAGGCTCAGGTGGCTCAGGCATCTTCTCAGAAGAAGTCATGGAGCACAGCGCATCAGCTTGCCGAAGAGCTCTGTCGATCTTGTCGACGGTCAGGCCAAGCTTCTTCTTAGCCGCCGCGAAGTTGGGGTCGTAGGCGATCGTCCAATGCCAGGTGCCCATGAACTTGAGGAGCCCTTCGCGGCTGTCGCCCTTCTTTTTTGTCATCGAGTCGGCCAGGTCATAGTCCACATCTTCGCAAGTTCTCGTGAAGCTGGAAGGCTTGGAGCGCCGCCCTCATATTGGTGAGGCCGAGAAGCGGGTCTCGTTGGTCTCCACGGCATCATAGCCGCCGCGGCTCTCGGTGCAGACCACCCCCTTGACCTTCATGGCCTGGAGCTCGGAGGTCATCAGATCACAATCACGTCAAAGACCTCTATGGTGAAGTCCAGCTCCATTGATCTCCGACCAGATGCTCATGCTCTGGAGTGCGATCTGGTAAAGTAGCTTCATCCCCAGGTCCAGGTGTCAGTCGTAAAGGAGGACTGGGTGTGTGTTCTGAAGCTGGTCGAGTCGAAGGAGCCGGAGTAGTTGGAGCCGGTGAGCGTTGATCCCGTGGAGACCGGTTTCGCCGAGAAGTTGTCCGAAATGATCGCCGAGAATTCATAGATCCATGTCTGTCGTGCCTGGAGGCGCTGCGGTGGGAGGGTTGTCGCCGATCCCGATCATGATGATGGCCAGGCAGGGAGAGCGGTGCCTACGACCTCGACCGATCTCAAAGGTGAGAGTCAGAGCAACGATCACGTCTACGATCACGAGAACGATGCTGATGGTCGCGGGAGCGATGATCACGTCCACGTTCATCTCGTTCATGTGTGGCACGATGCCGATCACGGGAGCGATGATGGTCCCGGGGGTGAGGAGCCGATCAATGTGGGAGGTTAGTGTGGGTCCGTTGTGATGTGTGGTGTCGAGGTTGTAGGGAATGAGCAGCACCAGGAACTCGAGCACGAAGGGAAGCTTTGCGACTCTCGACCATGGCCCGACGAGCACCACGCGCCAGCGAGCTGGAGGAAGAGGGGATCCAATGGGACATCCGCTCACCACGGACAAGAAGGGTGCACCACGGCCGTTCGACGACAAGCGGACATGGACAACGTGTCCCAATAACGCCAATCCTCACGGCGCTGGATTCACTGCAGGGCGTGCATCCTCCGCCTCCAGTACACTCCAAGAGTGGGCTCACATGGTCAAAACACCAAGACCTGGTGGACTGACGATCAAGCAAGTGCCCCAGCTGAGCGAGAAGCCTCCCTTCTACGACAAGGAGATGAACAAGGTCAAGAAGGGCAACAATACAACCATGGCCCCTGCTCCCTGCGCCAGCTCATGACGAATGGACCTGCAGGGACTTATTAGGCACCAGTCGCCACTGGTTCTATCGTTGTTCCACTCCTTCACGATTGCTTGGGATCATCCTGTGAGGTGGCATACTTTAAGCAGACCACAGGCTATTTTTTTGGACTAACATCCATCTACTGGTTGGCGAGGATGGCAGTGTCTTGGGAGCGCAGCCCAGTCTTCCCATTTGGGAAGCTTGTGATCGGGAAACTGCCGTTCATACACAGGTACAGCGAATTCTTGCCCTGGAACAGCGTGTCTCTTCAGATTCTCATCCCCGTGCTGTCAAACGTCAAGCAGTTGAATTGAATCATTGGAATCTGAACGTCTGGACCTCTTGGTGCAAGGTATGGTCCAACGATTCCTGGACCTCGACGTATCCGGAACTCCTGAGCTTCGCCACTTGACTCCTGAGAGGCAGCATCATCTCATCGACGGCTTGGTTCACAACCTGCAAGACTTGAGCGCTGCCACGGTAGAGAGCCCAGTTCTTTCAGCTCCACGTCCTTGGACCCCCTGTTGCTGCTGGACCTTCACAGACCGTTGGTCCTTCCACACTGTGTAACCTTTCAAGTCACAAGGTTCGTTTCGGACTGTTTTTATGCTAGCAGGGGCACACGGCATCCATGACCTACCGTGTGCAACGAAGCTACGGTCATGGATGGGAAGGGAAGGCTGATCACCTTCCTGTACCTGCTTGGTTGTGATGTTCTCAAGCTGTCACTCTCATATTCCAGTAAAGGGCTAAAGCATGCTGCGGACTCTGCGCGTTCCGTCGTCCTTGTCGATTGATCGTTTCGCGGTTTTGCTTTTTGGAACCTAGACCTTTGGAGGTTTGAGAATTTGGAGTTGGGGAGATCTGAACCCTGTTTCCTTAGGTTTTCACTTATAGGCTGGCGCGTGGCGCCGCATTCACATCAGTACGACTTTCTATAAAAACCATAGGGCTCCCCTTGAAGTTGTTCTGACTTTTTTTTGCAGGGAGCCACCGAACTACCAGAGGAGCGGTGGCCAACGAAGACCTCTTCTGGGACCCGTGTAAACGTACCTGCATTTTTTCTTGTAATTGCAATCTAATTGTAACGGCGGTTCACGTGTGCATGTTTTGCAGTTACATGTCTTTACTGGAGTCACACCTACGCTGAAACCGTTGTCGTGTCTACTTGCTACCACTGTGGGCCTCTCACCTTTGTTTTGACGGCCTCCAACCTAAATGGGATGCCTCCACCCTACCCTTGGTCCGCCTTCTACCTGGTTGCGGCGACCTACTTGGCCTTCTACCTAAATGCGACGACCTACTTGGCGCTGACCTCCACCTGAAGCGCGATGGCCTCCTGGACACGTAGGTTGGGAGGGGTATTTTTTGTTCTCTCTTTTTTTTGGGTGTTATTTTTTTGATTTTTTGTTTTTCGTGGCTTTTGGCTTTCGTGGCTTCTGTGGCTTTTGTGGCTTCCGTGGCTTTTGGCTTTCGTGGCTTCTTGGCTTTCGTGGCTTCTGTGGCTTTCGTGGCTCCTGTGGCTTTTGTGGCTTTTGGCTTTCTTGGCTTCCGTGGCTTTTGGCTTTCGTGGCTTCTGTGGCTTTTGCGAGCTGCTCACCTTTGGATTTGGTGTGCTTCTGGGGGCGCGCTGCGCCCCCCCGCGCAATCTGCACTTCATCTCTTCATTATATATATATATATTCAGATTTATATTTATGACATAGCAAAACACAACATGTTTTTAATTAAGGTTTTCACGATGAACGTGTCTAATGGCACATGCCCTACAAAACCCACAAGGGCCACTTCAACCTCACCCAGCTTTCAACGTAGCTTCTTTCCGCACTATTATCCATCTGTCGATATACCTGTCGACCTATCCATCTATCTGTCTATATCTATCTATCTATCTATCTATCTGTCTATATCTGTCTGTCTATATCTGTGTGTCTATATCTATCTATCTATCTCTCTCTATCTGTCTATATCTGCCTGTCTATATCTGTGTGTCTATATCTATCTATCTATCTATCTAGGGCGAAATGACGACGATCGCTCAAGTCTGCAGCAAGTGAGGTTCTGGGCTTAGCCTCGTGCCATTCTGTTTGAAAAAGGCAGGTACGTAGTTCTGGCGTCCCAGAACTATATCACTATGCAACAGATGCGTCTTCGTTGGCTGGAGACATCTGAAGCACACTCCAGCCCCCTGCTGCACAAGGAAAACAACTGTGAAGCTAAAACAATCCGAAGGGATCCCTATGATTCCAAGGGTTACACACACACACACACAGTTTGGGGCCTCTTGCCGGGATAATCAGAGTTTGCAGGGGCAATCCCTCTCACCATTGGTGGATGGCCAGGGAAGAAGCCGATGGTGAGAACAAACGTACCTGCAACTTTTAAGCCTTTCTTCTTTGATGTCGTGAGTCAAACTAAAGCTTACCGCTGTCTCATACGTTGTTTCTGCGGTGAAGGGCTAACTAACGCACTAAAGTGCCAATGCATTCAGTGATCCAGCAACTGACACTATGCTGTTGCGAACCATCTATTCAAGTGTGTTTTTTGTGTTTGTGTCGTTTTTTACTGTTGTTGTGTGTTTTCACATTACTATCACAAGCAGTAAGTCGTTTGGTAACCCACAAATTTCAATGTATTCCGTGTTGGTACAACGCAATAAGAAAGTGAACCATTGATTGGAGGGGGTGCCAGGTACAATGCCAGTCGGGCACCGACAAAAACACTTGCATGCTGCATGGGTCAGTGATATCACTTTGAGACGACAAATTGATGTACCTGCATTTTTGGACAGTAGCACGCTGTCACACTCATGTCCTACTTCGCCAACCAGATGCAACAAAACCACCTACTTAGGAGGTTCTCCCTTACCACGTTTGAAGGCTCCCTAACCACTCTTACTCATCTGCAGCCTGTCACGTTTGCTTCAATTCAATTTGTTTTTTTGTTTTGTTTCTGGGGACTGTTCCAGTTCTGATTCGATTGGCTGCGCTATTTTACAAGGGGTGCTGCTGGCTAAAGGTGTTTTTGCGGTTTTGCAACCTGCAGTGCATGCAGGATACTGAACTTGCAGACCCAGCAGCTTGGGAGTCTCTCTACATCGACTGCGCAGTTCTTATGCGCAAGATGAGTGACTGGCATGTTTCTTGATTCACATCGCTACTAGACCTTGATCATTGAACTTGGCAGGATGCAGCAATGCAAACTTGTCCACGGAGATCTCTCCGAATATAACATGTTTGCGCCCCAGCAGGGTCGTCTCCTCATTTGTGCTTGTGCTTTGGAGGCCCCCAAGGTTTGTTGGAGAGAGCACGTTGTGTATGATTTGCTGCTTGATTTTGGATTTGAGCCTAGCCGGGACAGTTTTCACAACAACTGAGATGTGCATTCATCAGGCTTCATCATGAAGGTCGGCTTTACATCATTGATGTTTCTCAGTCAGTTGAAAGTGAACACCCACAAGCACTGGACTTCTTGAAGAGAGACTGTGTGAATGTCTGGCGCCTGGTGTGTCCAAAGTACGAACTGCTTTCATTTTCCAGACAAAGCCATTGAAGTCTGTCAGGTCAACAACTTTTTTGGAAAACGCATGGTAAACCGACCTGTACCTGTCAAGCGTTTGTTTGACTATGTCCGTTGCTCAGGAGTTGTGGTTTACGTGGAAACTTCCTGTGGAAACGCTCTGCTTATTTGCCTGCTTAGGTTGTGACCCGTGAAGACAGGCAAGTGATGAGAGCAATCAAACTGTTTCAGCTTCACTGAAAGACTTTGTCATGCGGAGATTCATAAAAGCCCCCTAGGGTCGAAAGATCAGATGCCAACACCATGGCCGAAAGCAAACTATTCAAGGACATCCCTTGATCCAGCCTGGCTATCATTTATTGAGCACATGCCCTTGCAGAAATGGGCTGTTGCTTGTGAAGCTTGCACTTCGCAGGACTTGTTGAATGCGGCAGCAAATGGAACCTTTGATGAAGAGGATGCTGAAGACGAGGTATAATTGATCTTGGCTCAAAGATTAAATCAGAGCAGTGTGCAAAGAAGAACCAGACTTCATGGGAGGTTTTCATTCAGACCTGGATTCCCAGCAACCTGAACCAGGCACACTGATTTCTGCACATAGGATGGATGCAAACTGCAAACTGCAAGCATACAGCTGGCTATTTGCCAATTTTGCATAAATTACAAGAAAGAAAACAATTTGTCTCGAAGGTCTCAGATCAGAAATACCTGGATCGGGAGCTTGAGAAGAGACAGAACGGTGAGGAGGCTGATCAAGATCTTCAAGGAATACAACTTTTCATGATTTTTTTGCAAGGTGCTTTACGAGCGACTGCTCGCTGGCGAGAACCTACCTGAGGAGCTGTCACTTCAAGCTGCATTGATTGGTAGACGGTATACTATTCACCAGATCAGGAGGCGTGCCTTTTTGGTTACGCTGAGTAGAAATGGGTAGTATAAAGGGATGAACGGATGGGTAGTATAGTCTAAGTGCACCTTACGCAAACAGCGTGGAAAAAGCATACTATGTTACTTTGGACTATATGTACCTTGCTATTAGGTTGGAGGCCATCGCTCTTAGGTTAAGCCATCGCTGGTAGGTAGGAGGCTATTGCTATTGTGTTCATTTTGCCGTGCTATGGCAATTCAGTGGAGAGGTGATCTTTCCCAAGCATTGCAGCGCTGCCACTTTGTGGATAGCATCAGTTGTAATGATTTTGCACGACCCTTCCCGGCGTGCCACAAGCATTATGACAAATCTGATACTTGATGGGAGACCACTCCAAGTGCACATTGATTTGCATGAAGTAGCGGATGTAGGATGATTGTTTCGTGCGTCAGGATCCGGCAGCTGCGTCTGTAGAGAGTGAGGTAGACAATGATGCAACCGAAGAGGAACAGGAAGAGGAAAGCCATTCGGACTCCGATGAAAAGCGCAATGGGTGGGGCACACAGCCCAACAATTGCTGTGGAGTTGCCTTCACATCATGTTTTTGAACTGCTTCATTCTAGTTTTACGAGATGGGTGAATTGGCTACACTCCAGGCACAAGCCTGAAGGGATGGACAAGGCCAAATGTCCTTGGCTCTGGTTCACAGTGAGTCCTTGCAAGACACTTAGGCTGAGTGGAAAAAGAAGGCCAGTTTTGCACTTGTTTGCACTTGCTTGCAGCTTCTTTGTGTCCCTGACAACAGGGATACAGTAGATTTGATAATCAGGTGAAAGAGGACAGAAGAGAGAAGCGTAAAGAGAAGGTGCCAAAGGCAGGGCAGTTGGTTTAGTTGCTGGTTTCTGATGTATATACACTAGGGTGCCGAAAGTTGCGCTTCTTGACTTCTAAAACGGGACAAACCCT